ATTTCATAACGGCGTCTCTGGTAAATTTTGGCCGTCGACCAGTGTTACAGTCGACCGCCGACCAATTCATGCACCAAATTCCTAAAGTTGAGTGATCCTCAGTTAGATGTTATAAATTCATCGGTTCTTAAAACTCGAATGTTTCGTACTTTTTTGAATCGCAGCAGATTTAAATTATTACAATGAAGAAATGAGCTTATTTTTCGGTAAAGGAGGAACATATCGAGCCCTAACCGCCAAAATAACATAAGCGACATTTTTTTCAACATTTTATTTTTGATGCAGAAATATTCCTAGAGCATCTAGATGCATTTCTGCATCAAAAATAAAATTTTGGAAAAAATGTTGCCTACGTTATTTTGGCGGTTAGGGCTCGATTTAGTGTTCTCGTTTATAGAGTACACATATGAGCAACTGTAAGCGAAATACATACATACATATGTATGAATAACCCATTGCACTATAGTCTAAATTCCTGTTTTTTGACCAAAAATAACATTTTCTTGTTGCTATGTTTTAGATAATACCATAGTAAAACATAAGAAAGGTAAATTTTGTTTTTGTAAAAGGCCATAAGTTGTTATGGAGACTAAAGCTACGTGGAAGTAAAGATGTATGGCTTAAATTTTACCATTACATAAGCCTAGGAAATTTTGGCTAGGTTTGGCTAAGATACAGTTATTAAAAATAAAACTATTATATCTCGTGAGCTCATTATGTCGCCATATTTTATGCTGCTGTTTTTTTATTTCTAAAAAAAGTGAACTAGTTACCTTTTGATAAAGAAAGGAAACAAAAGACTGTTTACAATTTTGCTTTGGTAAAGGTTGCTCCCTAAAACTTTGCAGTAGGTAAATTATGAAATTCAGACTTTAAATAGAAATTAGCATAAATTGGATACAGTTTTCAAAAATTGCACTTTATAATTTGATTTTTTAAACTAAGTAAGTGGTATTTTTTTTGTTCTTCTTTAAACTGCAAGTAATGATGTGATATCTTCAATTTTTACAACGATCTGAGGAATATACTATACATACAATAGGTTTGTTCCACAAGCTACTTGTCGAAAAACTCGAGCAAAGTTCAAACTGTCAGCGTATATCATATAAACTCTAAAACTTACTTGTGGAACGCGTATGTGTACCTCGAAGTGACTTCGAGTAGCTTGTGGAACAAACCTAATATGAAAAGATTATAAGAACTAACAATCACAGGATTCTTTGAACAACTTAAAGGTATAGATACTATAACATATTGAGTACTATAACTATTAGGTACTACCTCCTTAATATGAATCGAATGGGGAAACCCCTATCCAGAATACTGTTTTTTAAGGCAATCTCGCACCTCACCGTTTTTATCCCTAACAAATAAGTTGACTCCTGCAAAAATTAAGATTTTGCTTTGTTATTTTCGTTTTCCACCTTCTGGGGTGCGTTGTGCAAACATTTCGCTTGAATTTTTGAAGAATTTAAAATTGCACTTTATAGTGCCGTAATACTTTCTCAATCATAAAGTGAAATCAAACAACATTCATCCTTTAAAAACTCGCAAATAAAATCAATGAATGCGTTGGAGCCATTAATGACAAAGCTTTTCCCTGAAGAAAGCTGTAAAAGCTTTATAGTCAGGCGTACAAAATCCGGTCATGGCTCTTAACGTTGTGCATTTACTTTTTGGGAATTTTCTAAGCACGAAAATTCGTTACCAACATTGTGATGCCAAGAACATCACTTTTTTCTATCAATTTGGTTCGGTATCACCCGGCAACGGACCTTCTACCATTTCCGTGTAGACTTGGTATTTTCGCGTAGTTTATAGTGCGCCTGCTTGGTTTTTTCTTGCTCTGTGATACTGAAAATGTCAATTAAGTGCTTTTTAAGGCGTTCCGTTGGATGCTTCCCTCACTGCGCCCATTCAAGGCCTTCAAATTTTAAGGCATACCCTTTGTATTAAAAAAAACACCTAGTATCGACGGTTTTAGAACTTTTATTGAGAATCGAACTGTCTTCAAAATGAGAATGAGAATTAAGTTACTGCGAGATATAAGCCCGATTCCTGAAGGAAGATAATGTGGCTATTCAAGCGAATGCTGTATCCCTAATATGGCTGCTTCGAGCGCTTACCTAGTTTGATTCATAAAAAAAATTTCCGTTGCTTGTATTAAACAAAAAATGAGAATGACGATAGCGCAACACCGAAACCGGTTTGTCTTCAAACCAAAGCTTGACAAGGCAGACGCAATCCGTTCCGAAATACATCGTACCCTGCGAAGAAACCAAACATCGCCAGCAATTGATAACACTTATGAATTACATACATTCATATTTATTTAACAAATCCAACTTCGTATTTTTTGCTTAGAAATATTTGCAAACTTGTAACTACATACCTACATACATACTTTCGAAAACTTAAGACAATTTAGCTGGAACCCACTTCAATCGAAATCTACATCCATATTCCTGAGTGACAACACCCGGGTGGTACCGACGCAACGTGTTGGTATGACGGCTGTGCAGAGACGCGAACTTTCGTTAAAATATGTGGCACCAGGGCAGGTGTACAGCACCCCACTCCAGACGCCGTTATTAATAAAGCAATAGACATACCTAGAAAAAAAAAAATGATTTTTATTATTTTAAAATTGTAAATGCACAGCATGGTAAGTAAATAAGTAAATAAGGGCAGTGTACTAACTGTCTACAGCTGGTAGTCTGCCCATTGCCGGCCGGAAAGCGACCACTTTGTTGCATAGACTGACAGAACGCGGCCGGATTTGTCACACTGGTCGAGGGCGCAGTAGTGGTTGTTGTTACTGTCTCATCAACACTGGGGCACGTGGCCACAACCTAAGCAGTAGTAAAATGGATACATATTATTAATAACCACAGTATGTATTATTTAATTGGCTCACCCCTAATGTGGCACTACCACAAATGTATTCATAATCAATGCTGCAAATGTGATCTGGCTCACAGGAGCCGGTCAAGTTACTGACCGTTGTTGTGCCCAGGCACAAGGCGTATGTACCGACGCCAGTGCAGGCAAAGGTATTGGTAGCATCGCAGGTGTTACAATCGGCACAATCAGCTACCACACCGACGCCTNTGGTTGTTGTTACTGTCTCATCAACACTGGGGCACGTGGCCACAACCTAAGCAGTAGTAAAATGGATACATATTATTAATAACCACAGTATGTATTATTTAATTGGCTCACCCCTAATGTGGCACTACCACAAATGTATTCATAATCAATGCTGCAAATGTGATCTGGCTCACAGGAGCCGGTCAAGTTACTGACCGTTGTTGTGCCCAGACACAAGGCGTATGTACCGACGCCAGTGCAGGCAAAGGTATTGGTAGCATCGCAGGTGTTACAATCGGCACAATCAGCTACCACACCGACGCCTCCACTGGGCTGGCAAATGCTCGTGGTAGCTGTGGAGCAAACATATCCTGTGGGGCAATCTAGCGCATTCGCAATTGGTGAGCCATTGTCGCACACCTTAAATTGGCTGTTGGAGACGCAAGCCAGATTAGTTTCAGCAGAGCAGGTATTGCAGGCGGCGTGCGTGAAAGTCGGCCAATTGACACAGAGAAGCAGCAAACTCAAAAGAAACTAAATGGGAAATAGTTTGCATATATTTCTTGAACTGATAGTTAGTAGCACTTACCTGCCGCGTAATGAACTCCGACATAATCGAATATTTTTTTAACTTTATAAATTTTGTTGAATACTCTTAATTCGAAATAAGCTTTGCAGTACTTTCTATAAGTCCGCTTGCATCAATTTCAAATTCATTTGCAACTAAAAATGTAAAACAACTTATGCTTGGATTTAAACTATCTGCCACCATCTCTGGGCTATCTTATCGTTGAAACTACAGAAATTTAGGCTTATCTTAGTGCATAAACGTCAAATGAATAGCAACTTTTTCTACTTGAAAGATAAATATTTAAAATGTAATAAATTTGATTTAGATTGTTTTATTTGAACAGCGAACTGTCGCTGACCAGACAAGGCCAGCGCGTTATTTATTTGTTAATATTCCTCAAAACAAATGCGGTTTAGCCCGATTCGCGAATTCCTAATTTCAATTTTGCCCAACGACTTGGCATCCTACTTATTGTTTTGACTATTCAACTATCTGAAAATGCTTTAAAAACGGGGAAAAGGTGAACGATCACAGCAGTATAGAACCAAATATATTGTCCAAGGAAACGGTATCTTTCAGACGGACAATATGGTCTTGTTTGCATCTTCCAAGCGCGAATATGGAAGGGGCAGTGGACTTGGCACGTCCAAGTTCATCTGCCTCTTGGAATTTGAGCCCGAAACTTTCCTCGATCTTATGGCCCATGTGTTGAGTCGCTAAACTTAAAAATTATCAATGAAGATTTGCAAAATTGTATAGCGAATATAAATCCGGCACCCAGTAGAAGATATCAAAAGGTACAGATCTTCATAGAAGCTCTATAGACTATTGGAGAATGTGAATATGAAATGACCTCCCGGGCAGTGGCGTTAGTTTGGATTAGACCAAATTAGGAAAGATTTAATGAGATGCCCTCAACTAAATTGTCTAATTACAAAAGACGTTTAGTTTTTTTGGTATTGATTCGAAAACAAGGGTATGAGTACCACTGATACCCAGGTATAACTACTAAATCTATAAGCATAAATTTAATTCAGATTAAGTTTGGTTAAGCCAAGATAAGGTTTAATTAGAAAGACTCTACTCTGCCATGGAATATATATACATTAAGAAAACTGATCAAGAACAAAAGCTATTGGAATGTACATAAGTGCCAATCTATTTAAATTAAATATTTGAGCTATGATAATTTTCATACATACTAGGACTAGGGATATTCGAATATATCCGTTCGGCTATTCATGTGTATACGAATAAAATCTGGATATCATGATCTCATTTTGATAAACGTATATTCTTAAACGTGTAAATAGAGATTCATAAAATTGTTCTCAACATTACTCCGGTTAATATCAGTTCATTTTGATATACGGATTTTTTAATCGGATACATATTCGAATATCCGGACATTAAAAACTTCCAGCCCTAATACATAAATATTTTTTAATAACTTAGGGAATTATATGTCAAAAATTGGTATTTGCTTATTTATGTGTATCTAAGTAGAAAATTATTTATTTTAGTAAAACACTAAATTTTTAGAACGTGATAATGGAACTCCAGTCTTCCTTTGTCAAATGCAGGAGAATGGAGGAGAATTGAAAACGAAAACTGAAATTGCAATAAACTCTATGACTCATCGCGTTCTTGCAGGACCACATTCCGATGTCCAAAAGTAAAAATCCGAACACATGAAATAAACCTAAAGGAAGTAAGTATTCCTGAAGTAATATTGACTTTGTGCAATATTTAAAAAAAAAATTCAACACACACAGTGTACACAGTGACTCAAAAAAATGACCACGTGCTCATATTTTTTTAATATTCGTAATGTTTTTCCAGCAAAATTTAGAAAAGCTTTAACCAAAACCATACAAATCACAGTTTTGAACTTTATACAAAATTTAAGAAAATTCAACAAATTTTTCAACAAGATTTCAACATTTTAATCTAAATCTTTAGAACATTTTTGGGTATGCAGATTTATAGCCCCTACAATTTTAGTGCCATGAAGTGCAAGTTTCAACCGGCTAAAAAATCCCGTTGATTTTTTAAAATTTTTTCTAACAATTTTTTACACAATAAGTGCAATTTACAAAAACTGGCGATGATTTTTTGAAATTTTCTTGCTAACGGTCTCCCGCTTTTTATTTCATAAGAAATTCATGCTTATTGGAAAAAAGTACAAAAATCCCCCAACAAAAAGCAGTTCCCAAAAATCAAAGGGATTTTTTAGCCGTTTGAAACCTGCATTGTACTGTATTTGTATTTTACCTTCCTCGTCTAATCACTTCGCTCCCAATTCTGGTGTCCCATTTTTTATTGATGTGAATACGTTTGTTTATCTCCAGCTGAAAGTGTTTTTTTTATAATTTTTGGTCTTCTTTCCTCATTTGATTCAGGAATACTTACTTCCTTTAGGTTTATTTCATGTGTTCGGATTTTTACTTTTGGACATCGGAATGTGGTCCTACAAGAACGTGATGAGTCATAGAGTTCATTGCAATTTCAGTTTTCGTTTTCAATTCTCCTTCATTTGACAAAGGAAGACTGGAGTTCCATTATCACGTTCTAAAATTTCAGTGTTTTACTAACATAAATAATTTCCTACTTAGATACACATAAACAAGCAAATACCAATTTTTGACATATAACTAATTGCTTCTGTAGGTTGTAGTTAGGCTAGATAAAATGACGGAAATTCGTTCCAAAATAAATCACCTTACCACCCTGTCGGAAAAATCAAGCAACACCAACACATAGTTAAAACTACTTTATTAAAGGGGCAAACTAGAGCAATAAGCCATTGTTCAGTGTGATGCCAATATATGTATGTATGTATGTTGAATTGTGACTGCTAACCCATAAACGAACGCGAAGTTTTGACGCTCCACAGTGATGCGTAATAATTGCCATCTGTATTCCCTACACAGCTTCGACATACTTAGAAGACAATGTTGGGAGAGCTTGACCTCATCAAGCTGCAACTAGCTGTGATAGTGATGATATGGTGTGGCATTTGGTTATACCAGGTTAATTCTTAGCCTACTACCTAAATAAGTCCAACTAAAAAAGTTCAGACACAACCGCAATAAAGGTGAAGTGATTCCCGACTAATTTTTAAGCACCCGGTGATCGAGTTTACTATCCTGAATTATATATCAGAGTAGATGTGTTTCTCCCATATCTAATGTCAGCTATGTCACCTTCTTATATGGCAACATTATCCAGAGTGGAAAATTTTAAAGAAAGAGCGCGCAATATGCATGTGAAGATGCTGAGAAAAGAACACGAAAACTTGACAGCCCTGGCGCATGGCAGAATAAATGCAACATTATTTCGAGAAAATAAAACGCCATAAGATGTACTGCGATATGGAAAACCTTATCAGGTACATCATTCGAAAATCTTAAATAAGTATAAAATACTGAAATACATTTACTTGTTGTATACCAAAGTGATGCGCAATCCATTTCAGTACGCATCAAGAGATGACAAAATCATTGACGTTGACTCTTATGCATGCTCGTACACGCACATGTTTACAACAAATAAAGCCCCACAAATCTCAAGTACTACATGCAGATGCAGCGAAGAGCAAATACAAAAAATGGAAATGCTTACAAATGTTGCGCCACATGCGGCGCGCATCTTTTGAACCCACATACCTGATACCTGCATACACATTTGCCAAATGTACAGCGCGCTGAAGAAGGGTTTCGCATTGCATCGAAACACTCAGACGTCGCCGCATGGAGCACAGAGCGCAGTGCACTTGCAGGCTACCTACCAAACGCAGCAAGTTAAACGGCAGGGATTTGAGTAGAAGCGGTTCAAGCCAAATTGGATATTCCTTTGATGATGAATTTGCCTGCTCGAGTGCAAATGCAACTTTGTGACTTTGACTTCAATAAGAGAAATAATTGCACATTCTTGTGCGGCCAAGTACTATGTACATGTGTACTACACACATCTTCCAAAATATATATGTATGTACATACATATGTGCATGATTACACATGCAAGTGGTTGTATTGACGTTGCGCTCTTTCGCATCCAACTAAGTATGCAAGAACACCAATTCAACGTTCTTCAATCGATGCGCTGCAATGGGGCGCATGATTTAATTGTGATTACCTGCATCTTTCGACCAACTTTAGCACAAGCGCACACATACATACATTCTCATTTTTTATTTTGTGCATTTATATTATTTTATTCATTTGTGATTCGTAGTTCTCCCCACACGGCTTGGTGCATGGTTTGTCCGTCCTACACGTCCGTCTAGTTGCCAACATGTGCAAAGTTCTGAAGCGTCACTTGCTATCAGTGTTGCCGCGCATAATTTTTAGTGGTAGCCAAATTCCTTTAAA